GGCAGAGAAAGGCCAGGAGCACAGCAGAATACACCCCAAAAGCCAAGGAGCACGGCAGAAAATGACCAGAATAAGCCCCAAGAGCGAAGGAGCACGGCAGAAAAAGACCAGGAGCACGGTATAATAGACCCCAAGAGCTAAGAAGCACGGCATAATAGGCCCCAAGAGCGAAGGAGCAAACCAGAAGAAGACCAGGAACATGGCAGAAAGACTAGATAACTCGTCATTTTCGGCAGACTCCAGGACGCTGTTGGAGCCATCTTGGGCTTTTTGGGGGCTCTCATCTCTTCGTCTTGAAGCACTTCGAAAACGATGTCGAAGCGATGTTGCGAACATCTCATTTGTTGAGGATGTCCCCAGCGCTCCTGCGTGTGCTGTCGTGCTCTTGTGTGTTCTGCCGTGTTCCTGTGTGCTCTGTCTGTTTTGCCGTGCTCCTGCGTGTTCTGCCGTGCCCCTCTATGTTCGGCAGAATCAACCCCAAGGGCTAAAGAGCACGGCAGAGAAGGACCAGGAATACGGAACCCAAGAGCAAAGGACCATGGCAGAAGAAGACAAAGAGCACGGCATAATAGCCCCAAGAGCGAAGGAGCACCGCAGAATAGGCCCCAGGAGCGAAGGAACAGGATAGAAAAAAACAGGAGCACGGCAGAATAGACCATCTAGGACGATCGTCAGGGTTATTCCAACTCATTCCTTGAGAAGAGTCGCTTCGTCCACCAAGCATGTGAAACGAAATATGCAATGTTCCTGTGTGTTCTGCCGTGCTCCTGCGTGGTCTGCCGTGTTCCTGTGTGTTCTGTCGTGCTCCTGTGCATTCTGCCGCGCTCTTGTGTGTCTGCCATGCTCCTACTTGTTAAAGTTAAAATTAAAGACGGGGCCTTCAAGGCTCAAAAAGGGAAGCCCCTGCGAAACCAAAACGGGGCGGCCTCTTCGGGCCTGGGCAGGCGGAAGGGCCAAACCCCCTCAGACGCCCACCCCCCCCACCGAGGCGAGACCATATCTACATGCAGAATGCAACTGCACGCCTCACTCAGCCTGGCCGAAGACCTGAGCCGCCTCGAGCAACCGCAGCCCCTCGGCCAGATCGCCGCTCAGGATTGCCGCCTGCGCCGCTGCGGCCGCAGCCAGCCGCTCCTGCGCATCGACCTTGACCTCCCGCGCGTGCTCGAGCGGCGGCACTCGGTCAGCGTCGCTCTAGACGGAGCCGACGCCTTGCTGCTGCCCCTCGCCCTCAATCTGGTCCACCGTCTGCGTGCCCACCTCGACGGACAGCTCCCCGATGAACCAGTCCTGCGTGCAAGCCTCCGCGCTGTTGTCGACCGTGCCCCCGACCAGCGCGCCCTGCTTCCTCAGCTCCTCCTGCTTCTCGGGATCGTACCGGAACTTCCCCTTGCAGAAGCGAGTGTTATCCAGGCCCAGCACGTCTCCAACGCTCATGTCCGAGACCAGTACCCCCACCTTCTCAGCCTTGCTGTCTGGGGCGTACTCGCTGGCCTTTTCCGTCGGCTCCCCCATCTGCTTCGCCACTGGCTTAAGCAAGGACCTCTCCTTCAGCTCGTCCGTGGCCTTGCAGTTTGGGGCGCCCTCGATGTCCTTCATCTCCACATTCGCGCTCAGCACGTGCGGCATCTCCGACGCGTCCTCGGAGAAAGAATCCCCGCTGCTGCCCTCCAGCACCTGCGTGCCTGCAGGCGGCGGGTCCCTCTCCAGGCCGCCACGGCCTCTCTTGCGCTGCCCGCGGACGCGCCTCTTGGCCTCCGCCGCCGTCGCAGGCGCCGCCGCCGCCCCGCCCCCGAAGCCCGCGTGGAGTGCCCAGTGGCGGAATGCGCGGCAGGCCCCAGAGGGCTGGGCCCGCACCCCGTCGCGCCCTGCGGCGACGTGGAGCCGCAGGTGCGGCCGTGCGAGCTCCTCGCGCACTGCCACCTCCTTGTCGATCTCGCCGTCGTCGCTGTCGCCTTCAGCCAGCACCTCCGCGCACATGCGGATGGCCGCCGCCACCGCGGCCGCCACCACCTGGCGGGTGCCGCCTCCAGCCGCTGCCCCATGTGCCGCGGCCTGCACGAGCGGCGCCATCGCCGCCAGCAGCCTGCGCTCGCCCCCCCCCCGCGGGGGCGGGACCGTAGCCACCGCCTGGGCCATGGCCGCGGCAAATGGATAACGCTTCCCCCTGAGCAGGCGAGAAGCGCAGAACCCAACGCTGCCGCCCGCCAGGGGCCCAAGGCAGGCTGGAGCCAAAATGGCTACGGATGCTCCTACTTGTTCTGCCATGCTCCTGCGTGTGCTGCCGTGCTCCTGTGTGTTTTGCCGTGTTCCCGTGTGTTCTGTCTGTTTTGCCGTGTTCTTGCGTGTTCTGCCGTGCCCCTCTATGTTCGGCAAAATCAATTCCAAGAGCTAAAGAGCACGGCAAAAATAACTAGGAATACGAACCTCAATCGCAAAGGACCACGGCAAAACAAGACAAAGCGCACGGCAGAATAGACCCCAAGACCGAAGGAGCACAGCAAATTAGGCCCCAGGAGCGAAGGAGCATGATAGAAAAAAGAACAGGAGCACGACATAATAGACCCGAAGAGCTGAGGAGCACGGCAGAATAGGCGCCAGGAAAGAAGGAACATTGCAAAACGCGACCAGCGACCAGGAGCATGGCAGAATAGACCGCAAGAGCAAAAGAGCACGGTAAGATAGATGCAATAATACGGCATAATACGCCCCAAGGAAGGAGTATGCAAGAAAAAGACAAGGACCATGGCAGAACAAACCCCGAAATCGAAGGAGCACGGCAGAATATGCCCCAAGAGCTAAGGTGCACGGCAGAAAACGACCAGGAGCACGGCATCATAAGCCCCATGAACAAAGGATTGTGACAGAAAATGGCCAGGAGCATGGCAGAATAGGCCCGAAGAGCGAAGGAGCACGGCACAAACAAAAACAAGGAGCATTTCAGAATAGACCCCAAGAACGAAAGAGCACGGCAGAATAGACGTCAAGAGCGAAGGAGCACGGCAGAGTTGCTCATTCTCTGCCTTGCTCTTTTTTCGCCGGCCATGTTCCGCCCGATGTTTGTTGAGGATGTATGCAGCGAGAGCGCGACTTTTGACACGAGAGGTAGTAAAAACGCCACTCCAAGATATCATTTTTGTTAACATGTCTCAGGCGAGACACCCGTTTTTGAACATCTGTCGAATTCGCGGCTTTCCATGTTTAAGGGATGTCTCAGGCGAAACGCTCATTTTTGATGAAATCGATGTTGTGAACATTTTTCATTTCTGTAAAGACGTCTCAAACGAAATCGCCATTTTGGATCGTCTCGAGGGCGCTCCTCAGGGTCAAATTTGGGCTTGTTTGGGCCTTTGGGGCCTTTCTTGATGCCTTACAAAACTGTTACAGTCCGATGCTACACACATTCATTTTTTCAGGATGTCCCTAGCGACATCGTCATTTTTAGAAGACTGGCTTAAACCATCTAGAGGCCTTTTCAGGAGCGATCCCAAGACGATGTTAAAACAGCAGTTTTCAAAACGATGTTGTTCGATTTATTATGTTTTGAAGATGTCCCTAGCGAGATCACTATTTTCAGCAACCTTAAGGGCGCTATTGGAGCCATGTTGTGGCCTTTTTTTTGCTTCCTGCTGCCTTCCTAAAATCATTACGATGCGATGTCGCACGCATCATTTTTTGAGGATGTCCCTACCGAAATCGACATTTGTTGGAGGGTGCCTTGGGCCGTCTGGAAGCCTTTTCAGAAGCACTGTCAAGACTATGTAAGAACAACAGTTTTCAAGTCGATGCAGGTGTATGTTTTCACTTTTTGAGGATGTACCTAGCGACATCGCTATTTTCGGAAGTCCCCCAATCTTTCTGACAGCCATCTTGAGTGCTTCGTGGCCTCTCATTTCGTCATCTTGAGGTACTTCGAGAACGATATCAAGACGACGTTGAGGACATCTCATTATGTTGAGGATGTCCCTAGCGAAGTGCAAATTTTCTGCCGTGTTCCTCGTTCTGGTCCGCCGTGCTGCCGCTCGTTTTCGGAGGATGTCCCCAGCGAAATCGCAATTCTTTACATAAGAGTTAGTTAAAGACTTCAGTCGTCATTCCATTTTTCCGAGGATGTCCCAAGCGAAACGCAAATTTTCACAGACGGCGAAATTTCGCAGTCATCAATTGTTCGAGGATGTCTCGAGCGAAACGCTTGTTTTTGTTAAACGCGATGTCGCGAAGATCTCATTGTTGTGAGGATGTCTCACGCGAAATCGCCATCCCGAGGAATCCGCTAAGCCTCCATACCGTGCGGCGCGCCACCCCCTATAATTAAGAGATCTCTTACTGATATGAGGAGGATTCAGCCAAAACGTCCAGCTCGCTTCTCGTTCCTCGAAGACGCTTCCCGTCATCCGCCAGGGTCGACTGGAGGAGCGATCTCGAGCCATTCCCCCTTCTGCACTCCCCCCAGTTGACAAATATTTCCTTCTGGGTCTGCAGCAACGTCCATCGCGCGACTCTTCGAGTCTAAGCGCGCTTCCCGTCATCCGCCAACGAACAATTTTTCTTTGCGCCGAACACCATATAGCAAGAGTTTTTTAGATATGATGCAGATTCAGCCAGAACGTCCAGCTCGCTTCTCGCACCTCGAGAACGCTTCCCGTCATCCGCCGACCACATGCTCGATATCCTCTTCGCGCCCGTACACTTGAACACGCATCCCAAATGCGCGCGCGCCAGACGCATGTCGGATAGTCCCTTCCAGCCACCCGCTCACTCCTGAGAAGAATCTGCCGACCGCATGCTGGATACCCCCCCTTCGCGCTTGCACATTTGAAAGCAGGGCTCGAGCTAAATAGTGTTTTGGCGGTTTCGTGGACCGTTTTCGCTTTGCTGTTGCTTCGCAGCAAAGGCATAACGAATACGGAGCGAAGACAGATCGAAGGACAACGAACAACACTGTTTAGCTCCAGATCTGTGTGAAAATGCATCCCGCACGCCCACGCGCCAGCCTCCGCAGCTATTTTGGCTCAGGCTGCGCGGGATGCGATGGCCGCGTTTCAGGGCTGACGCTGGCGGCAGCCCGCCACAGCGGGCGGCCTGGCGCTGGGCACCATGGCGACCCAGCCAGCGCCCGCGGCGTCTGGCGCAGCCTCGGCGCGCATCCCGCCCGTGGTGGCGCCGCTCCTGCAGCTGCTGCCCGGCGCGGCGCATGCCGTGGCGATGGTCACCGTGGGGCATCCGTTCGACACGGTGAAGACGCGGTTGCAGTTGCAGCTCCACCCTGGCATCGTCAGCTGCTGCAGGGAGCTGGTGCGGTCGGAGGGGCCGCGTGCCCTCTATCGCGGGGCAGCCATGCCTCTGGCGAGTCTGGTTACCAAGCGGCCCTTTGAGTTTGTGGCGTTCGAGTGGTTCAACAGCAGGTTTAATCACCTACCGGGAGCATCTTACTTCGGTGGTTTTCTGGCTGGGATCTTGGGGGCTCTGATTGGTTGTCCGTTCTCGGTGGTGAAGATCCAGCTGCAGGCGAGCGGCAGGGACGTTCATGCGAACACGAGGAGTGCTATCCTCGCTGTCTGGGGATCCCGCGGATCTACTGGCTTCTATCATGGTCTCGGGGCGATGGTCATCCAGCAGGTCCCGTACGGAACGGTGTACCTGGGGACGTACGGGAAGTTGCGCGAGTTCTTGCCCAAGGGCTACTGGAGCACGGCAGTGGCAGGAGGCGTCGCTTCGCTCACGACCTGGACTCTGCTGATGCCCCTGGATACGGTCAAGACCCGCATCCAGGCCGCGGCGCTCCAGAGCGAGAGCCAGCGCCGCTTGGGCTGGACAGGGCAGCTGCGGCACGTGGTCCGGGAGCTCGGGCCGCGCGGGCTCTGGGCGGGCTGGAGCCCCGCGGCCCTGAGATCCTTGCCGACGAGCGCCGCGTCGATGCTCGCGTACGAGAAGGTGCGCTCGCTGGTGGCGTCCGAGGGCAGACGGGATGAGCACGCGAGGCGGCGAGTCACGTGACTGGTCTCCCGTGGCCCTGGCAGCTCGAGGAAACTCGAGGGAAGTCTTCCTCCGTCCAGTGTGTGCATGTGGGAGCGGAGGAGGTGCACTCGGGCTCTGGGCTGCGAGCGCCGTGTGTGGAGCGGCTGCCGCATCGGGTGCAGAAGAGACGGCATGGGCAACACTGCTAGAGCCCCACCTTCCCCTCGATGGCGGGTTGCCGCCTCGGCTGGAAGAGGTCCGCAGCCTCTGCACGGTTCCTGTCGATCCTCGTTTGATGGCTGTATGTGAGCGCCTCTCTCCCGGAGGGGGGGGGGGCGAGGGCACATGTTCGGCAGAGGTTCGGGGTCGGTCCAGCGCAAGAGCTGCCATGACTTGCAATTCGAGTGCGTGGCTGGGCGAACTCGGTGTTTCGGGCCCGCGGCGCCGACAAGAGGTCTGAGGCGAGCTTAGACGGCTTAGGATGAGAGGCTGAGAAGCCCGAAGCTTTATCCGCACAGGGCTGTAAGAGACCACACGAGGCGGCGACAGCCTCACCGCGGTTTTCTGCTCCTCCACTGGCCCTGCGCTGAGAGCCTGGCGTCTGAGACCGCCTGTGATGGCGCCAGACAACGCAAACGCGCACGCGCCAGATGCATGTTGGATCCCCCCTCCACACACGCACTCTTTCGCGCGGAGCATCCGACGACGCAGCCTGCTCGACGTCCCTGCGGTCTGGGGCCAACGGCAGGCCCGCCAGAAGAGAGCCCTGGGCCAGAGCCCATGCCGTGAGTATCTGCCTGGAGCGCAACAGCGGTCGAGAGGTCCGATGGGGCCTGCGCCACGAGCAGAATCGCCACGTCGGGTGTCTAAGGCCATGGTGCCAGTCTCGGGGTTCTCGGGAGGCCTGGCAGGGCTCCACGGGATTTCAGTCAAATGTCGGGGAACCTCGGGGCTCGGTTGACCTCGGAAAGTTCAATGGCCCGCTGGCCCCATGACCTTCGGCACTCCTCGCGTAAACCGCCCTTGAGGAGAAAGAGGTAGAGGATTCTGGTCGTCGTTGGAGGCGGTCGGATGTTTCTTGGCGGTCTTCGGCGGTTTCTGGAGGCTTCCCCGAGAGGGACAGAGGGGAAGGAAGAGGAGGAGAGGGAGGCTTATGAACATGGAGACACAGGAGGACAGGAGGAAACAGAGGAGGAGGAGGCGAAGGCGGATGAGTCAAGATGAACATTACAGAATGCCTCGACCAGGGAGAAGACGCGAGGTGGCCTCCGAGGTCAGACACCTCCAGTCATCGCCAGCAGGCGAAGACCTCGCAGCGGACACACCGTGGGAGTGCCCCCCACAGCGAACAGATCGCAGCATATCGATGGGCCTCTGCGTGTAGCGCACGGCCTGGCATGCAGGAGGGCGACGCTCTCTGGACGTTTTCATAGTCGTCGTTCTTTTCGTCGTGTTCGTCGTTTTCGTCGTCGTCGTCGTCGTCGTCGTCGTCGGACCTCGGGGAGCCCGCGATTGGAACCAACTGCGAGAGCTTCCGCCTGCTCTGCCGCGGCCTCGGCCACCGCGGCCAGGCCGGAGTCCAGCCGCCCCACGGCAGCGCACTCGACCAGCGGTGCTTGCCCGTCGGGCTGTGCTCCTCGTCGTCGTCCCGCGAGACTAGCCCCAGACCTGATCGCGTCGTACAAAAACAGGACGGAAGGTTTTTGGTCATTTTCGGCCCCTAGGGCCCAGAGGGCCCTCGACGGGCCTCGGGACTATATAAAAAACCGACTCAGGATGAGAAACACCCGTCCTAGGGAAAGGGTCGGGACTTCCGGGGACCCCGTCCTGAAAAAATCAGGACGTTGCATGTCTGGGGCTGTCGTCCTGCGCGACTAGCTGGGCCGTCGTCCTGCAACAGGGCTCGTTGCGATTCCTCCTATTCGATTCGACTCGACTTCGGTGGCTTCCGATTCCGATTCGATTCGACTTCGGATTCCCGATTCGGGTTCCGATTCCTCACTGGAGTCCTACTAAACTGCCGATTTCCGCCGGTTCGGCTTTTCCCGATTCGGCTGCCGATTCTAGCTGGGCCGTCGTCCTAGAAACGCTCCTCTCCCCGTCCCCCCCCCTCCTTTCGAAGAAGAACTAACGCCATGAACGTAAACTTTCGGCGCTCCGCGCGGATCTCTTGGATCTGCGCCTGGCCCCCCCCCCTTGGCGGCGCCTCCGGCGCCGCCCCTGGCGCGCTCCGCACGCCAGGGAGGAGGGTCCAGCGCGGATCCAAGAAATCCGCGCGGAGCGCCAAAAGTTTCTTTTTATGGCGTTGTTTCTTCTTCGGTCCGTCCCATCACCCCCTACAACCTCCCGCCCTCCCCCCCACCTCTCCTCCACCTCCCCCCTCCCTCCCTGCACCCGTCGGGCCGTTCTAGCCGTTGGGAGAGCAATCGCCTGCGAGACTGGCTGGGCCGTCGTCCTCGCTGGCCCAGGTAGTCTCGCAGGCGACTGCCCTCCCCCAGCCCCTCCGACTTTGCGACGAAAACGGAAGCCGCTCAGCGGTGGGAGGGAAACCCTTGGGCTACACCTCAGGGGGAGCTGTTTGGACGCACCCCTGTCGAGGATGGACGCCCCCCCCCCCCGTAAATCCTGGGGTTGGGGCCCCAAGTTTCTGGTCCACTCGAGAACACGACGAAGCCTGGGATAGGGATCGACACATCCCTTATCATAGTCCGCCCGAGCTGCTGGAAGTCATGCTCCTGGTAAGCATCGTTGCCCGCCTCGTTGCCGACCGCATTCGGCGCCACCGCCTCCGAGAAATCGGTCCTGTCGAACTCGGATCCGTGCGTTTGGGCGGCCTCCTTGGCCACCTCCGCGATCTCCGCCAGCAGGGTGACGCCATCGGTGTCCGTGATGCCGTCTCCGTTGACCTCGAAGCATTGTTCCTGGTCAGCATCTTTGTTAGCATCGTTCCCGAAAGCCTTCATCTCCGCCGCCTCCGGGAACCCGATCTCGACTCGCCGCACACAGCGGCTCCCGTCCGACCACTTCGGGGCCAGACTGGTAGAAGCAAGATGATGTGGGGAAGGTGGAGCAGCAGGGTGAGGATGAGGCTGGTTTGGAATTCGGGTGCCTTACTGGTGGATCTGGCACGACAGAGGGGGTTGGCTCTGGCGCGCCAGTCATAGGGGTGCGCCCAAGCAGACTCTGATCCGACAGCTGCTATCACCGAGGAAATGAAGGGAGGGAGGAGGGGTGCTAAGGATAGAGGGCCTCACGGCCCTCCCTCCTGGCATTTGCATAGTGGGCCTCAGGGATCGCCCTCGTCGACACGGCTGGATTCGCTTCCGGATCCTGGTCAGAACGCTCTCCAGGAGAGTTCCAGGGAGCTACTTTGAGATCAGATATTCCCACTTCGTGTGCTGTGATGGGTGAGTGTACGACTGCCGTGTTTGGAGCGACTCTTGTAAAACAAGTTGTCATGGCCAGTGACCGATGCCTTGACCTCGATTCGTTTGATGGTCCATGGAACGTAGGACAGCCCAATGCAGGCGCTTCATCTAATTAGCTTCCGCCGGTACCGATGGAGCCCTTGGCTACTCCCCTGCAGCGCCTCTTTCCGCGTACCAGAGGGCCTCGGTTAACAAACGCACGCCGGAGTGTCAACACGCGGGCTCTGGATCGTCGGTCTTGTGCATGACCGATGCCGACACCTCTGGCCGGCGTCCCACAAGCCGGCCCAACTGATACCTTGAAGTCGTTGGCCTTCGAAAACCGCTGCGCGCAGGCACCTTGCGTCGGCCCGCGTGCCCCACCGGGTCCGCAACTTGCGTTGCATCCTCGGGGGGGACCCCGTCTGTCCCCCAAGTCGGTGTCCTTTCTTGTGCCCGCCGCCGGCTTGATGCGGACTCGACGTGGATCTGACGTGGTCTCGCTCGACACGAGTGCGACACGGATCCGACGAGCCCGATATGGATTCGGCACGGGCTCGACATGGATCGGGGCGCGGCGGGACCGACAAGGTCCTTGAGATCCGATGTCGCGTTTTTCTGTTAAGACGGGATCCCCAAAAAAGTCTCGACCAATTCCCCAGGACTGGCTTTTCATCCTGAGTCGTTTTACAATGGTCCCGAGGCCCGGCCGAACTTTGCGAAAAGCCTCCGTCTTGATTTTTTCCCGACCCTCCTGCGTTGGGTTCTCGTTTTGAATAGAGCACTGCTCGCGCGAATCCCGCCCCTCTCTTCCCCCCTGCCTTTTACCTGGCTCGTCGCTGCGTTTCGAGGGCTGCTGGGGGCTGCGATCTGTGAAACTCTCGCCACTTTCGAGGCCTGCTGGGGGGCCCAGCACGGTGGGCACCCGCGGCGGATTCAAATGGGACGACCTCGCCATCCCTGGGGGGCTGCGATCTGTGAAACTGTCGCCACTTTCGAGGGCTGCTGGGGGGCCCAGCGCAGTGTGCACCCGCGGCAGATTCAAATGGCACCTCGCCATCCCTGGGGGGCTGCGATCTGTGAAACTGTCGCCACTTTCGAGGGCTGCTGGGGGGCCCAGCACAGTGTGCACCCGCGGCGGATTCAAATGGGACCTCGCCATCCCTGGGGGGCTGCGATCTGTGAAACTGTCGCCACTTTCGAGGGCTGCTGGGGGGCCCAGCACAGTGGGCACCCACGGCGGATTCAAATGGGACCTCGCCATCCCTGGGGGGCTGCGATCTGTGAAACTGTCGCCCTTTCGAGGCCTGCTGGGGGGCCCAGCACAGTGGGCACCCACGGCGGATTCAAATGGGACCTCGCCATCCCTGGGGGGCTGCGATCTGTGAAACTGTCGCCAGTTTCGAGGGCTGCTGGGGGGCCCAGCACAGTGGGCACCCGCGGCGGATTCAAATGGTACCTCGCCGTCCTTGGGGGGCTGCGATCTGTGAAACTGCCGCCACTTTCGAGGCCTGCTGGGGGGCCCAGCACAGTGGGTACCCACCGCGGCTGGGGGCTGCGATCTGTGAAACTGTCGCCACTTTCGAGGCCTGCTGGGGGGCCCAGCACAGTGGGCACCCACCGCGGATTCAAATGGGGCCTCGCCATCCCTGGGGGGCTGCGATCTGTGAAACTGTCGCCACTTTCGAGGCTGTTGGGGGGCCCAGCACAGTGGGCACCCGCGGCGGATTCAAATGGGACCTCGCCATCCCTGGGGGGCTGCGATCTGTGAAACTGTCGCCAGTTTCGAGGGCTGCTGAGGGACCCAGCACAGTGGGCACCCACCGCGGATTCAAATGAGACCTCGCCATCCCTGGTGGCCTGCGATTTGTGAAATTGTCGCCACTTTCGAGGCCTGCTGGGGGGCACAGCACAGTGGGTACCCGCGGCGGATTCAAATGGGACCTCGCCATCCCTGGGGGGCTGCGATCTGTGAAACTGTCGCCACTTTCGAGGCCTGCTGAGGGGCCCAGCACAGTGGGTACTCACCGCAGACTCAAATGGGACCTCGCCATCCCTGGGGGGCTGCGATCTGTGAAACTGTCGCCACTTCCGAGTGCTGCTGAGGGGCACAGCACAGTGGGTACCCTCCGCAGACTCATATTAGACCTCGCCATCCTTGGGGGGCTGCGATCTGTGAAACAGTCGCCACTTTCGAGGGCTGCTGAGGGGCCCATCAGAGTGGGTACTCACCGCAGACCCAGATTAGACCTCGCCATCCTTGGGGGGCTGCGATCTGTGAAACTGT